TATATTTTTATATTTATATTTTTATAAAATATTCATAATTGTTATTAATATTATTATTAAAAACAGCAATAGAACTGTTGAAGCATTCATTTGATTAAACCTAAAAATCTGCTAAAGTACTATATCTTGGTGTGCTGCTTCTAACAACTCAAATATCCAGCACCTTTAAAAAGTGTTTATCAAGCTTTTGGCTGTATTTTTCTCTCTACATAGATACCATAGTTAGGTGAATACACAGTCATGTTTGATTAGGAGATGTGTTACAGATAAGTCACTTGCAGGGAAAAAAACTTTTATAGTTTTTGTGTATAAAAATGAAATTTATAGGACGCATGGAATTTCATTCTTTTATGGTAAATGACTTACAAGGGTATGTTAGAAGCAAAGGTAAATGAGTGCTGATTTTAAGTTTCTACCTTCTGAAACACAAAAGAATGCAGTACATACGGTCCTGGGGAATGACGTGTCATAGATTATAGCAAGAGCAGTCTGAGCAAATGAAATTGTAATGGAGTTCCTCTTCTGGCTGCAGGAAATAGCTGTTATTTATCCTGTTTCCTAAGATGCTGCATGCATACTGCTGTTTATTATATACTTAGAAATCTCTTGGCAAGTCAATAATGAATAAATGAACTTAAAGCTATTACAACACCCTTGGCATGAGGAGCATAAGCCAGGACATTTTTCAGTGTACCCTTTCCTGGGTTTGGCTGAGGCGTTTCTGCAGAGATACCAACCCAGGTAGTTCAAATGAACAGTTGTGATTGTTTCTCCTTGCAGGTGTACGAGGCAGTCCCATGCTACACTGAGTGCAATCAGTATTCTTGGGTGGTAGAACCATGGTCTCCATGCAAAATCAACAGTGAACAAAATTCCCTCCACTGTGGAGAAGGAATACAAACGAGGAAAGTCAGGTACGTGAAGACAAAAGCACAGGTACTCCAGATTAAAAAAAAGCTGATACATACTTGCATAGAACTGGAATATCTGTCCATCTTACAGTGAGTATGTTGCTGAGTCCAGTGTATTCCAAATGAAAAGAAACATGCATTTATGTGCAATGGTTTACAGGAAAAGCATCTCAGAGATGCAGCCTTGTGTTACAATCAAGACGTCTTTCAGGAAGAAGGCGTGATGTTTAAATTAGAATTCTTCAACCTAAATGCCATATATACATAAAGCCCCCTGAGGTGCAAAGCCTCCATATTCTGATTTGCTAATGTTTTCCCCAAGTAATGGCACTGCACACACCAGAGTGGCATTCATTATTAGTGAGTATTCATTCCCTAGGCATGGGGAAGCGCTGAGTTATTTCCAAATGTTCGGATGTTACTAGCAGGAGCACAAAGGATTGTTCTTGCTGGTTGTCGTTTTCTGTTCGCTCATCTGTCAGACGATCAAAGTTAAAATCCTTCTGTATGAGGTTTGAAATGTTTGTTTAAAGTAGTTATTGAAATCTGTGAGTAACAAAAGCATGTCATGTGTGTAGCTGGTTTTGATTTGCATTAACACGATTAATTCTACATTTTGACCAGCCTTGCTGCATATAGCTATTGTGTTACATTATAGTGTCCTATATGGGTTCAAGCAGACCTATTGATATCTATCACTTCTGTAGTATGCTGGTAATCCTCTAATGAAAGTGTCTGTTTTCTGCATAGGTGTGTGAGTACCGCTGAGGACCATGGAGGGGGGACTGTGCCCAACGCACTGTGTAATCAGGCTGAAATCCCAGATACAATGCAGAAGTGTAGCTTGTACTGTCCCAGTGAGTGTGCAGTGTCTGACTGGGGACAGTGGAGCAAGTGTCCACAGGTAGGCTCTCCTGCTTGTTCTTTGTGGCAATGTTCCTCACATGTTGGTCTTCTCTGTCCTTCAGCCATTTCATGAGAGTTATTTACTAATAAAGTATATTATTTTCTGAAGTATGGCTTCAGAAAATGGGGAAGTCAGGCTTAATGGATCCTGCCAACATGGTTGAATCTGGAGATTTTTATGTTTCTACAGAGCCTGAGCTATAGAAAATTAGTTAGTAAAACACATAGTTATTACTGTGACAGTTGATTCCACTCATCCTCCCACTTGGTCTAGAGGAGAGGACCCACACAAGTACAGTGGGTGAAGGGACCAGTATTCTAGCTGCAGTAAGGGCTGCCTGCATTAGGAAATGTTTGCAGGGGAGAGCCCTGTGAGTGATGCACAACTGTCGTAACAACCTGCTGGTGAACCATGGTGGTGGCACTCCTCTGGACAGGTCTTAGGCCTGAGGGAACGACAGCTCGGTCTTCCCAGCAGACACTATTTCTGTCCAGCATCCACTCCTCCTCAAAACCTTGAGGCAAGATTTGAGGCAACAGCAACAGAAGGGCATGGCAACAAGATGCCTGAACAATTTGTCATGTCACAAAATACTCAAAACTTTGTGAATCATGCAGGGATTCAAGCCACCACCAAGTGCTCTGTGTTTTCCTAAGTGTGCAAAGATGGAAAGAAGCTGCAAATTCTGTCTTGTGAAAACTCTCTGGCCTCAAAGCATGTAATTTCAAACCCAGTGTTTCTCTCTGATCAGTGTTGAAATAGGTGCCAGGTTTAATCTCAGGGGTTTTGTAATAGACTTGCTTGATGTATTTAAGCGACAAACATATTCATTGCCCCTGTGTTAACAGGGCCATTATCAAAAGTCTGAGTGGTTATTGGACAGGTATTTATACTACTGCTGACACAGGTAATTTCTTCCATAATATTTTGTGTAGCGTATCAATATACTCAGTAAGAACGTGTCAAATAAAATCTTGTGTTTCATTTCCTGCGTTCACCTCCTCCTGAGCAGCATAGCTTTGATGAAGTATAACACTCTTGCAACCGATACAGATGCTTGGATACCTTTCAAAGTCGCGCTGTGACTGGGCTGTTTCTTTGCCATTGACTTTTTTTTTTAAGAGATAGATTTTCTTCATTTTAGCATGCAGTAAACTTAATGCAGAGATGCTTAAGGCCATTGGGTATTTTTCAGGTGCCTTGGTGGCAGTCAGTTGGTCATGAAGGACTGCTTGAAGCTTTAAGCACCCCAATATCCTTAAGACACCCCAAGTTTTTGCCTGAAGACTCCTTTTGTGCAATGGCGAAGCCTCTGTGGCCCACAGAAGCAGGCATGGGATGCCCAGAGTTTGTGGGCGGCACTTCATCAAGCAGCATAGCCCTTGGCAGTCACGGGGCTGAGTGCCACAGTCCTTGTGTTTCCTTGTACATCCTTTTGCCATAATAGATGTTAATTCATAAATGTGAGGGCATCTGCATGCCAACACAATTAATTGAACAATATGTTTTCACAAGCTGTTCTGCAATGATTTGTTGTGAAACTGAGATTACTGTGTGTGGATGGAGCATGTGTTTAAATAGTTCTGTCCAGATACGAGGCAATAAACAGCTTGAAATTTTATGGAGAGATAAAACCCTCCCTTTGAAGAGTTTACAGCAGTGTTGTCTCCCTTTTATAGCCACTCAGGCTATTTGTGTTTCTTTGGCTTGGAGAAAGGACCACACAGCACAGTCCCTCCCAGGCTGCACACACTTAACATCTCCAAGGCAAGCACTGGGCTTGCTGTAAGCGCAGAATGGCTATACCATGATGTTGGTGTATCTTCAGTATGTGTGGGAGTACCAGTGTGATGGGGCAGGGATTGAGGGAAATGTGGTGGCCAGGAGTAAGGCGTTGCCAGCACCAGGGTAATTAATGCAACCCTCCATCTCCTGAGTCGCCACTAGTAAAGGTAGTCACTGAGAATGGCCACAAGTTGGTGGGCATGGTCAATGGAGTTACAAAGGCAATGGAGCCTATGGAGGATCCTGTTTCGTCTTTAAGAGAAGAGCTACATGTGGTCAGTTGTGTAGCTCCACTGGTTGTAAGTGAGAGCTTGGGTCTGGACCTTGCATGACAACCCTACATATAGACACCCAAATATAGGAGTCTGCATCTGGAGCTGAGTCTCGTTACGTCTTTTGGTCTGACCTGTTGTGCCTCCAGCCTGCTTGAAGTGTCTTCCCACAGAGCCCCAAAACACATCAGTAAGTTTGTGTGCGTAGAACCTCTTGCTCATTAGGACTGTCTATTTAATTGTGTTTGATGGAATTTTGCTCAATAGCTGGTGTACTCATACATGATTTATGATTCATGCCAAACTGAAAGTAAATGCCTGTCTTCTGAGGATGTATAAAATGCTTTTGAGTATTCACCAAAAATCCGTGTATGGCTCCTTTCCCTTCCCCAAGTAATGAGACAAATTTGAAGGATCACATCATACTGAAATTAAAAAAGCAAAGCTGTACATCCTGGCTGCTCTTTTTCAAGCACATCTGCATTTCATATCAAAATAGTCGGCATTCTTGTAGTCATAGCACTCTTGTGAGGCAGCTGCCAAAGAGCATTCTGGGAAATCTTCCTGCATCTCTGGTCATGTTTGACTTGCTGGACACAAAGAGGATTTATGAAACTTGACAAATTCTAGTTTGTAAGAAATGAGCAACCACCATTTCAGCCTCATCGTTGCCTGGGTAGCTCTTTGATTTGGAATATTTACCTAAGATTTTGGTCAGGTGAGAATTCTTTTCCAATCGCTTTGGTGTTCTGCTCATATTTTATAGTGTTGATAATAAATTTATCCTGATAGCGGAATAACTAACTCCTATCAACTGAATATAAAGAGGCCTTTTAGATTATCCAGTTTACCTTTTGTCAATATGTCATTGTACTCTGGATACTTTCTAGGGTATTACTTGGTTTTATCTTGTAGCAATACTCTTTCCATGTGAATTTTTCACTTTCAGGGTAGTAAATAATCTTGAATCATGTTGAAATCAATGAGTCATAAAGGTGGCGACTGCTTTGTCAATAGGAAGTATTTTCTTCAATACTTCTTTCTGCTAAAACATTGTATTTGTTCTGGTTTTTGGCTGTATTTCCCTTTTGCTTTTAAATATTCGTGTTTCTAGGGTGGTCTTTTGTAATTTGAGATGTTCCCACAATTCTTTTGTGTGTATTTTCCAACTGAATTGCAATTTCTGCATCTTGATTATAGTGCCATTTAACACTGCTACACAAAGCTAAATTTTAATATTTCCTCTAACGGCACTTTGCTGTGACCCAGAAATGCAGCTGTCTGAAATGTAATACTTTGAGGTTACTTCTGAGGTTTTGTCTCTTTACTGGATTCAAGAAACTCATAATTACTGATTTAAAGCTTCCCTATTATTCTCACATACTCTATTGTGAGAAGTAAACTCAAAATGGTTTTCCCTCTGATTGAATACTGTTTTTTGGCTCATAAAGTTTTCTTCTTTGTCACTAAGTAACATCCACATAACTTAAATTTCAAGGCTTTAAAGCCATTTAAAATAACAGTTTGAAGCTTGCTAGTTAGGAAAAAAAAATCATGAGCAAATTAGATTGACTTGCATTTTGCTTCAGAGATTTCACCCTCGTTCCAGCTACAATAGCGCATTCAGTCAGACATCATCACTTGATTGCTCAAAGACCCAGCTAAACAATCTGGAAACTGGAATCCTATCACCTCTGTTACATATTCAGTGATCGAATAACATGCACTACCTGCGGTGTCTCAACTTTGTATTCAACTGACTTGGAAATGTAATTAATTGACTTCAACTGAATTCATCAAAGCATTCTCAAAAAGAGTTAATATGCGAGTTGTGCTACAAGTCCCTGACATGATTACCTCAAATTTATTTTGTTAGCTCTCTGCTGCCATGTGGATGGCTGTCGCAGCCCCCATAGCCGATCGGAGTGGCCTCCTTGTTTGCCTCAGCTGTTGGCATTTCTAGCAGCTAATTCTAAGAGGCCTGAAATTAGTTAATTATAGGAGGTTACATGTCTAGTGAGTGAGAACAGCTGTCTCTGTTTCAGCGAGCATTTTCCTCATGGATCAATAGCGAGGTACAATGCTCAGGACTTGTAACAATTGAGTTATTATTCTCTTGAATCTGCAGGAGGGGGTGTGTGTAGTGCTGCGATAACTGATATATGAAATGTGGCACCAGGCAATACAGCCGCCTCTCAGGTTTTGCAGTGACGTTCATCGCAGATGTGAGTTGGAGTTATTATGGTTTGGAAATGCTTTCCTTCCCAACCCAACTGGAAGACAAACTGTGGACTCGTGTAGACATTGGGACTCACTGAAGTCTTCATCAGGACTAGTACTTTTATACGTAGGTTTGGCAGAGGACCTGCAGTATAGAGGGTGGATAGAAGAATGAAGTTTGCACAGAGTTGTATTCCTAGCCCAGGAGATAATTTATTCAGGTCAAGCATGAGAATTATGCTAGTCCAAGGCCCTTCTGGAAGAACGTACAATTTTTTTTGTATGGCTTTATCAAAAAGTTGGTAACTGCTCTATTCTTTTAGTTTTATTGTTTTATTTTTACTCACCTTTATTAACAGTAATTTTTTAAAAAGTTATGGTTATATATAGAGGCAGGTAAGGTTTCAGAATCTAGATGCATCTCAAAAAGAAAATTTATGCAAATGCATTTTCATTTCAAAAGACTGCTCATGTTATTGTAAATGGCTTGTTAAATGGCTAACAAAACATCCGCATCCGCATGAACAGTTCATTGCACTGTTAAAAATAGTCAAATCCTGTTGCTGCCAATGCATTTACCTTCGTTTGAGGTTGTATGTTTCCTTATGACTAGCCAGTTACATAGAATGTGGCCGACTATTTATAGTGCAGTATGAATTATACAAGCTGTTTGATAAACAGCTTAAAGGGCTCTCTAATGGGTTACAACCTTTGTGCTGT